ACAGATATTTAGATACTTGAAAGTACATCTCTGGAATATGCATCCAGAGCATCAGAGTGGGTCATGTGTGTAGTCAGTCACTTTATGCAAGAAGAGTTAGCCTTTGGGATTTAGGAATAAAATAGACATTTCCATCTGTGAGCAATTTAGAGATGGCTGTTGAAGGTTTGATGCTAGTTTATTTCCCAATCATTCTTCTCACACTTTTTATCAATTCTGGATTTACTCCAGTTATCACTCATACATGTTTATTAAGCATCATTGCGGGAGACAAAATTTTTTTCTGGCATGAATCCAATAGAACAGTTTTAAATAAATAACTTGGGTTTTTCTTAGGTAGAAAGCAACTGCAACAAGGACAGAAATGAGCCTTAATGTGGGAGGAAAACAGCCTTAGTAAACTCATTCCTGTAAACTGAAAAAAAGAAGTAATTAAAATATTCATTACCCCTTGAAAGTTTTCCTTCTTTCAGGGCACTGATCATTCTCACCTTGTCTGTAGGAAGGCTTCACTGCAGTCTGAGTTGAACTTGCAGACAGGTGCAAAGTCTTTGGCTGATGTCTATAAATAGACTTTCAGTGGCCTCCAGTAGAGAGAAAAGTGAAGAGATTAGCTGTTGGAAGCAAATTAAAGCACATAATGTTAGATTATTTCTTCACTGCATGTAGGAAATTAAGTAGCACAATCAATTTGCTCTTAGTATTTCTCTATGTGAATATGTGAACAATTTTAGTAGTGCGATGAACTATTATGTCTTAAAAATATGTTCTGTGTATTAGTATGTGGTTTGTTTTTCCATCTTCAGGTGTAACTGCAACCATTAGTAAAGGTTTAATGACATGGAGCCATATGATACTTTATCCATTATAAAACTGTATCATCAGTTTCTTCTTTAAGTATATTGAATTATTTTAACTTGTCTGAAAAGGTGCAGAAAACTCCATACCCTATTTTATCAGAGCTTTAGAAAAATGGAGTGGGATGTTAGTTTTAGTTTCCAGTTTCACTGGTTGCTTAGACTTATGGATAGCTTAATGTGAATATCTGGGTTTTTTTCCCCCTGCATTAGCTTTTCATTATTTCAGTGCATTAAATATTATTAAGATCTTTAAAATGTCCTAGTTTTGGATACATCAGTTGACAATGATGATTTTACTCCCACCCCTCCCCCAGGTATTGCTCAGTGTTGTCCAGAAATTTCATGTCTGAGCTTGCAGTGGAAGAGGGAAAAAAGAGATCATGCAGAAAATAAACCCTTTTATTAGCAACCTTATTTCAAAAATGAAAATATATTGGAGGTTGATAAGATTATGAGAAAGTTAGCATCCTGTTTAGTTTTTGGAAGTACCAAGATGTAGCAGACATTACTAGAATTGTCTTGTGGAATTCTGTATTCCCTGCAGTTATGGTAGATGTAAATAAACTACATCAATTGTGTACTAAGAAGTCAGTACATGGGAGCTGCAACACTTTAGAGCATGAAAAGTTCCTGAAAATACTTATTAACCATCTCCTTCTTTTGCCAATGATTTATCAGTACTCTGGTGAAATTCCCCCTTCCTAATCATTATAATTTTAAGATAAACTAGACTCAAACAAGGTTGGGAAATCAAGTGATGAAAAGTCTTTTCCAAAGCAGCAACTGAAATGTGAACCTTAGTTTCTGATGGTCCACTAAGTAGTTGAGCTTTGGGGATTTTATCTTTTGCCTAGCACACCTAGGTTATGTTCTTTACACACCTTGAGCAGTTTAGCAAACTGCTAAAGCAGTTTAGCAAACTAGAGAGGAATTCTATAAAACCAGAGCTCTGAATAGTATTTGCTTCACCCAAATAGTTCCCCTTCATCCATGTTTTTTGTCATCTATATCCCAAAAAACTGAAGCTGAATTTGAGAAATAAGCAGCTGGATTTTTTAGGGATCCTTCAAATAGCTTAGGGCCTCATTTTCCTGTCTTTGTTATTCCCCCCATACCTCCTTATTCCCTGCCTGTTTTTTTTTCCTCCTACTACCACATTAGGACAATAAACCCAGCCCAAGTATAGTGGAAGAAAAACCTGATACTGACCCGTTTTGCTGATAGGAACATTTGATACCATCTAAGAAACTTCAAAACATTCTGCTCTTTTTTAATCCTTTCATCTTGAAAACAGAAGGGAAAAAAAGTCCATTAAAACATTATATGAGGGATACCTATTCAAAGCCATTCAGGTGGGATCATATGGATAGCAGTGCTGGATCATATGAGGCACTTCATCACTCTTCCTCCCAAAATTGGACTAAATTGGACAAACTTAAGAGGACCATCAAAGTTTGGACCAGTAGAGAGTAAGCTGTCTTCTGGAATAGACTCCAGACTTCGGATTGGTGGAATTTCCTGAATTGGAAGACTGCACTCACATCTGTTGTGTTTAATACCTCTTTACAGACCTGTGAAGTTTGTTTAATTCTCTGCTGAATCACTTTTTTAAATGTTTGACCTTCACATTACCTTAAGATAAGGAGTTCCAGAATTTCACTTGAAGTACTACTGTTTCATTCTTTAAAATGTTTTAAAGAAAGTGTTTCTGATTCTGATGGTATTCTAAATATATAGTGATAATCTCGTATATTCAGCTTCTCTATGAGATTTATGGTTTTAGAGTGAAGTCTTCCCTTTTTCCCTGTGCCCCTATTGCTTCTTCACAGATTGAACAATAGCCAGTTTTGGTCAGTTTTCCAGTCTTTTACCTTTTCCAGGTCTACCACACTTTTTTGAGATAGGCTGACCAGAAATGCAGTAAAAATTCCAGATAAATTCCCAAAAGAATCAAACATCTGCCTAAAGGCTCTGGTTCTGTAACCCTATTCTAATGCTTCCTACCTGTTGTGTGGTGTTTGACTATCAGTGAACACGGAGCTGACGTTTTCAAAGAACACTACCTGAAATGGGAATGTTTGGCTTAGAAACCATCTGTGTGCTCTGTCCACAGGGGCATCAGTGTTTGTGGGTTTTTCTGTACAACCATGAGGTGGAGTTGCTTATTGAACACTGATTTAATTAATTTCTCATTCAAAGCTTGAGCTCTTAGCAGCCTACCAATTTTACTGTTGGCAAGCATGAAGAAATTCCTATGTTTATTATTATTAAAGCAGACTTCACCATCTCAGTTTTCAATCTTTTCAGTTGATTAGTCTGTGCATCTACCGTAGTATTTTGGTATGTAGTTTTGAGCAGAATATGCTTGGAACCTCCGCTTACAGGTTTTTGGGCCATATTGCAGAGTAGACCCAGGGTGCACAAACTATATTTTCTTTGGATAAAATGAAATGAAAGGGTGAGCTGTAACTACTAGCAGGCACTCTGTCCTCTGGACCAAATTAGAGCCAAAATGAAGTACTTCTCTCTCCCCAGAAAATGCCTGTCCTGTAGCCCTGTGTCTTCAATTTCACCTAACTCTGCAAATCCCTTATTACTCCCTTGACTCTGGTTGCCTGAAAACTGGCTGTTTCCTTTTTATAATCCTTTAACCACTGCTAACCAGTAAAATGATCATTTATCTTACAGGAGCTTGTGTCATTTAAGAGCACTACCTTGCTTCATATATCTGTTGATTCTTTTAAGTGACTTCCCCATAACAAACTCTTGGCTATTCCCTGCCATGCTGTCTTTATGTCTAGTTTCTATATGTTAGGTAATTTTACATAGGAAAGCTATACTTGTGGGCCTGCAGATTACAGATCAAAAAGCAGTAGAAACAGAAGTGTGCTACCTTCTGTCTCTACACTAGTGAAGGAGATTTGAGGGAACAGTTTATAGACTGGTGTCAAACTGCCTAGATGCACTATATAATTTTTGGGAATTTGAAATAAATTATTCTTGGTAAAGGCAAACCTTTCATTAACTAAGGACCTGCTGCTTGCAATAGCCATTTTTTACCATTTACACACAATATATTACACATGCCATGTAAAGCAGCACATGTTGAAAACAAGTGTTTTTTGGCCTCAGGATTCTCAAGGCTGAAATTCTGTCAGAAGGAAGCATTCAATTTGCTTTTCACAGTGCAGGTAAAATTTTTGTAGTTCTCTCTTCTATGTAGAAAACCTAAATTAGTAATAATTTTGCCTTTCAAATAACCCCCCTAGATATATTTAAAATAAACCAGATTCAATGCTTTTGTTTAGCAGATAGAATGAGAAAAGTGTTCAAGGCTGGCTGCCATCCTTCACCTCAGTGGGAGGAAAATCTGAGTTGAACCCAAGAGTGAATTGCTGATCATAAATTGGTCACAGATATTTGGTCACTTGACCTTCAAAACTTTTAATTTTCTTTTTATTATGTATATTGGTGTGAAAGAGGTGGAGCAATGCAATTCTTGCATAATGCCTCCTGTAGTTTTGCTTAAATAGTGAAGGTAAATTTAAGTTTCTGCAATCATTGGTCAGTATATGACTCAGAAAATTATTAGTGCTTTTGCCTTCTGTAGAATTGCTCATGATTCCTGAGCAAATAATCTTTTTTTTTTTTTATTTTTTCTACCCATTTGGCCTTTAAGGGAGACAACACTGAAAAGGTTATGAAACAGTTTGTGAGGGAGCAAGTATAATTGAATCGCTGTTCTTTGCTGCTATGAATACAGCTTTGCTCCTTGAATAGTGTTAGATTTCTTAAGCATATTGTAGGCAGTTCCAAACAATCATGGCTTTAGCCTACATTCTAACATCCACAATTGTTAAAACCTTCAGACCAATTTCCTCTCATAAAAGACAGCATTACGGTTTGTAACAACAT